CGCATGCTGGGTTTGGAACCCAGAAGAACCAGCTGGTGGACCCTCATGGTGCCGAAGAGAGCCGGGGCACGGGGACTTCTCGGCCGACACACCTTTGACAAATGCCACTGGGACAGAGGTCAGCCTCGGGATCTTGGAGGCGCTAAAAGAGCCCCCCCCACTCCGGATGGGGACCCTGGTTCGTGGCAGATGCAGATCTCCGTCGGACTTCCTGCTGGCACCCCTACGGCACGGCAGGAGCAGGTCTCCTCCACAGCCCGGGGCTGAGTTTTGCGTCTTTCCCAGCCGTGTTGCGTGGTGGCCACGTTTTCCAGCCCCTCACTGGACGCGCTGAGCAGGTCTGCTGGGATAACCGAGGAACTCATCCCCTGCCCGCACAGACCTTGGTGTCTCGTTTGTCCTGCAACTTAACGGGGCAGTGACTTAGTGTGCGGACTCAGATCACAGGGAATTGTCTCCACCTGATCACAGACCCTTGCTCACTTTGAGACGGTGAATACAAAATTAGGCAACCCTAGGTTATGTGGGGAGCACCAGGCTTAGTTCCAGCAAACACAAGTTTGTTTCCTATTTCTAGTTAACTAAAACACGTCTCATAAACGGAAAAAGTGCTGAGAATGGCAAAGAGCACATTTCTGGTTTGGAAGAGAAATTACTCCAAATAATATCGAAAGGGACCAAATTCTTTAGAAAGGACTCATTCAGCTGCAGAAAAAATATGTTTTTCAAGACTATTGTTTTGGTAGACATAATAACAGCAAACGAGGCACAATGTTCTTTTTAGGGTGTGTGTGTGTGTGTGTGTGTGTGTGTGTGTGTGTGTGTGTGTGTGTGTTCTATTCAGCCTTCTATATTTGCCAAGGAACAAAACAGTAAGAACTACTTTAGCAATTTTAACCCATGGAATTGGGTGACAGTAAAAATTTCCTGTCACTAAAAACTTTTTGACAACAAATGTTTGCTAAGAGAGGATAGACCATTATTGGATAGAAATGAGACAAAATTCCAAGCCTGGTTTCCCCACAGGAACTTTACAAACAATAGCACTGGTCATTCACAGAAGCTGTTACAGTTCCTCGTACAGTTCTAATAGTAAATAGAATAATTAGGCCTGATTAAAGGCACATCATTTATGGGGCTCGTACTTTACTTCCTTCACATATATTGTGTCATTTTTTACTTGACACATCTTCTCAAGTCCAGAATACTGCTGGAATCCAGTACCTACGATGAACAGGGCTTGTGCTGAAGGCCAGGTGTCACACTCACCCGGGTGGGTGTCTGCTCCCTGGCGCCAGGGTCCCGGCCCCTCCCAAGGAAGGCCCTGTGCAGAGTGCACCTTGAAGCCCTGACCTGGTCTTCAGCACTTCCAGAGGAACAATGAGAGTCTCTCTTCTCTCACATCTTGAGGGAGAACTGGCGTCCTGAGCCATTCACTTTTGCTCCAAGCTGTGTTCTTATTTTCAGTTTGGTGGGTGCGTCCATGAGGAGCATAATGCTGAGGGGATTATCGAGGGAGCACCTGCAGCTGCCCGCAGGGCTCTGTTGCTCTCTTCCAGTCAGATGTGGCTAAGAGCCAGGAACCTGTGCAGGACCAGCCCGGACGACACTGACCACTGCGTGTATCCATTACCTAGTGCTTGCTTCCTCAGGCAAGGCTCCTGCGGAGAGGTTACAATCAGATAACAGAAAAGGCACACAGGAAAAAGGTCCCTCCACAGGACCTAAAGAGCAAGAGACTTCAGCCCTTAGTCAGACGGTGGCCCCTGGAAGCATGGGTAGAAACTCCCAAGAGATCTGTGTGCACAGACGGACACTGCATTGCACACCCGGGTAATCAGGACTAAGAAGAAGTGTAGGGGACGCTGGGCTCCACGTGCTGAGCTCCTTGCTTATCGGAGTCACTGCTGGACATCCAGTCAGGTTAACACATAGGTTTAAATTTCACGGTAATGATGCCATAGATATGTAAACGCCCCATGCCTTAGGAATTCTCTGTCATCTTTGATTGCAATATTTTTCTTTAAAGGAAAAGAAACCCACAGAACATAGGAAAGAAACAATACGAATGATACAAGTTTCAGAACAAAATGCTAGGGATTAACAGTGGTTATTATATTACATATTATTATCTTCACTGAAGTGGGTCAGATTACCAGATGTAAGAATGTAAGACTGATCATGTGTAATAGATACTAAGAAAGGGATAGAAATTGCTCAAAAGAAGAAACAACTGGGATGAGGGAAAAGAGAGAAAGAAAGAAGGAAGGGAAAATATATATGTATATAGAAGGATACGATATACTATGTATATACAGTGAGAAAATCTGATACTTACAGGTTTCCTTCATTGCAAACTAAATAACTCCTCACACCAGTCTTGTAATGCAGATCTCATGATGATAAACTCCCTTGGCTTTTTTCTTTTTGCTGTGGTGAGATTTTTCTTTCTTCTTCATTTTAATTGATAAGCAATTGTGCGTATTTATGGGTACAGTGTGATATCTGAAACACTACGGAAATGGTCCAACAAGCCAGTTAACATATTCTTCACCTCACCACTTTATCATGTTTTTATGGAAAGAAGACTAAAAACCTGTTCTCTGAGTAATCTGAGACTACATAATGTATTGCAGTGTTATTAACTGGTCACCACGCACTACGACTGAGAAAACCTATTCTTCCCATTTAACTGCAACTAGGTGCCCTTTGATCAGCATCTTCCCTCTGCCCACCCTCTTCCCACCCGTCAGGTCTGTATCGCCGTCACGCTCTAGTTTTTATTTTTCTTGTTGGCTTTTGCAGTACTGGAGATTGAGCTGAGGCCCTTGCACATGCTACACAAGTGCTCCACCATGGAGCTATTTCCCCAACCCTTTTTAATTTATTCTTTGAAACAAGGTCTCACTAATTTTCCCACAGTGGCCCCAAACTTTTGATCCTTCTGCCTCAGCCTCCAGAGTAGATGGAGTTAGAGGAGTGTCTCTACATCTGACCTGCACCCTGTTCCCACAAGATCTGCGTGGTTAGGGTCTACACGTAGTGAGATCACAGAAGGCCTGTCTTGCTATTCCTGGCTTGTTTCACTTAGAATGATGGCCTTAAGTTCTATCCATGTTATTGGGGAGTATGTAATTTCCTTCATTTGTCAAGGTTATATAATATTCCACTGCATATGTATATAGGACAATTTTTTATACCATTCACCCATTGACAGACATGTAGACTGTCTCCACAGCTTGTCCACTAAGAGTCATGCAGAGATGAATAAGAGCGTGTAGACATCTCTTCACCATGCTGATTTCTCTTCCTTTGGGATCCAGCGTTGGAACGACTGGGTCATATAGTAATTCTACTTTCAGTTTAGTTTTTTATGAACTTCCATGCCATTTCCTGAAGTTAATTTATATTCCTTCCAGCAGTGTACAGAGTTCCCATTCTTTTGTGTTCTCCCCAACACTTGTTATCATTCACCTTTTGGGAGACGACCGTTGGGACAGGTGTGCCGAGCTATCCTGTGGTGGTAGCTGCATTTCCCTGGGGTCTGCGGTGTTGCCCAGATGTGTGGACCTGCTGGTCATTACGTCTTCTTCTGAGTCATTTGCCCCTTGCTGAGCTGGGTGGTTTTCTTCCTGCTGCACCATTTGAGTTTCTTTTGCATGTCGTATAGTATTCCGTTATCAGACTGGGGTTTGCACTAAGTTGTCCCAATCCACGGTTTCCCCTTTGCTCTCTGTTGTTTCCTTTGCTGGAGGAAGCTTTTCAGTTCATGCAATCCATTAGTCCCTTCTTGCTTTAGTAAGTTTATTCAAGGAGGGGAAAGATCTGCACACTGAAACTACAGAACACTGGTGCCAGCGGTTGCAGAAGACACAATGGGAAGATAAGCAATGTTCGTGCATTGAGAGAACTGATATTCTTTTGAATTTCCATGTTAGTCAAAAAAAGCTACAAATTCAGTGAGGTCTTCACCAAAATTTCAGGGTCCTTGTAGGCAAAGCAGTTTTCATTTTCAGCCATGAGACCCACCAAGTGCCAGCAACTCCCTTTAGGAGCTGAGGATTTCGCTCTTAGCCTGTTGGTCACTTTCTCATCTCTGAGACACAGTACCGACACCCTCAGCTGAAAGCAGTCAAGGTTGACGTGGGCTCACGGTTACAGAGGTGTCGGTTCATAGTGGCTCCAGGGCAGGCGTGGCGTGACGTGGCAGGGGGTCTGGCAGAGGAAGAGAGCTGCTCCGGCCATGGCGGTCAGGAATCGAAGTGGAGAGAGAAGCCAGATCCTTCCGGGCCCCACCCAAGTGACCAGCTCTTCCAACCAGACCCCCCCTCCCACAGCTCTACACCTTCGTGCCGGTCACCTTCCAGGTCCATCCTGGGAGCGCTTGGACTTTAGGGGGACAGCAGATATAAACCAGGGCAGTGTTTGAGCAGAGCTGGCTCTCCGCTCTAGGTGGGACATGCCTGCCCCACACGACAGCCTTCTGTCCCATACACAGAGACATGGGGTTGCAGTGCAAGGTGGGATAGGCACGTGGCAGATGTCAAGGCCAGCTGCTCCGGGACCCAGGCCTGCAGGGACAGGAGAGCCAGCGTGCACTAGGCCGGGCGAGCTGCCACCTGCCCCTCCTGCACTGTTCTCTGACGTCAAATCTCGGCGGCTTTTCTCCTTTTGTATCAATTAAAGGCGTGCTCTCACTTTTTCTCTCACGCTGTGGGGAAGTTTACCAGGTGTGTAGATTTACCTGGAGTCCGTGAAAAAGACAAGGTCCCACGCATGAACATCACCGTGTCACTTCTGGGCCACGCTTGGGAAGCGCACTGGCCTCACATTGCTGTTTCCACCGTCTGCCTCCGAGGACTCAGGGTGCGGACTGGCCCTGGCAGCCTCTCTTGTAGGACCCGCGCCATGTGGACCCCGCCCCCGGGTCCTGTGTTCCCCAGGCACATCTCGCCCTGACAGAGCCCCTGACCCTGCCATGTCCCTCTTGTGCTCCCCAGGTGTCTCTGGGCTCGCAGGCTGACTTGCAGAGGAAGAAGCGGCGGGCACCAGCACCTCCTCCCCCACAGCCGCCGCCGCCCAGCCCCCTGGTCCCCAACCGCAGGGAGGACAAGGAGGAGAACCGGAAGAGCACCATGGGTGAGTGCCGGGCTCGCTGCCGCATGCCTCGGGTGCCTGCTGCGCAGAATGTTAGCACTTACACTAACCTGCTCGCAGGGTCGGCTGTGCTGAGCGAGGACGTCGGGAGCAGGGAGCTGCGAGTTCACTTCCTGTCCTACTAGCAGTGTCTCACAGGCGTCATGAGGGTGGGTGGTGCGCGGCGTGCGGAAGCGGGGACAGGAGACAGGAGGAGGGTGAATGTGTGACCGCGTGACATGTGTCTCAGATGGGAAAAAGGCAAATTCCTAAGGTGGCATCCCTGGAAGGCTGTTGTGACAGGCAGCTGGCATCTGAAAACCACCTCAGGTCCCAGGTGGGTCATGCGGGGTGAGCGTCCATAATCTGAGAGACCCGAAACCTTTTGAGCACCATCATGATGCCTCCAGTAGAAAATCCCACGTCGGGAAACTTGGTTTCATGCACAGAACTATTAAGCCAGTACAGAAGTGACCCTCGGGTCCAGCTGCGGTGTGCGTGAGACCTGAGTGAGTCTCACACGTGCACCTGGGCCCAGTCCCCAAGATGCGGATGCACGCAGGTGTCCCAGACGCTGCTCAGCTCTCCTTGGGTGTGGAAGAGTAGCAGCAATCAGCTCACACACCGAATTGTGAACCCGAAAGATTAGTGTGCCGAACAGAGGTTCCTTTTAACTCAGCAGGGCTGTTTAGAGGGCTTTATGGCAGAGTTTTCAGCCCAGCCGGTGTGCAGTCACGCCTGCCAGCGAAATTACAACTGGGCAGGCTCCCACGCTGGCCCGACGGCAAGCGCTCCGTGCGTGGTGTCCAACCAGGAGAGTGAATGGGTGAGGCGCAGGTGGGCGTGGGCCTGAGGGCGGATCAGATCCCATTTGGTGTCGGTGTTGCTGTCGCTGGGTTTGGCACTATGTTAGGTGCGTGAATTTGGGGAAGACCGAGTGTGAGTGTAGCGTTGGGCGTGGCTGGATGTGGTGCTGGCTGTGGGGGGCTTCGCTGCTGAATGTGCCCGGGTTTGGCGTTAGGTTTGGAGTTTCGTGCGGCTGGATTTGGTGTTGGGCACGGCTGGGTCCGGCGCTGGATGTGTGCTGCGGTGTCGTGTGCTGTGCGGCTGGCTTCGTGCTGATCGCGGCTGGGTGCGAAGGTGGGCTCGCCTGAGCCTGGTGCGTGGGCAGAGAAGCAGCCCGCCTGCCGCTGGCAGCCGGGAATCTTGGCCTAACCTGAAGCCGCTCCCCATTGATTCCACATAGGTGTTGGACGGCAGGTGCCACAGAAGCCCCCCAGAGGCACTGCTCGGGGCCCGCCCCAGTTAGTGCTGCCCCCGCCCCCGCCCTACCCTCCTCCTGACCCAGACGAGGCGGAGCCCCTCAGCTCTCCCGGGGAAGGTGCTGGTCCCGAGGCCTCCGACCTGAGACCCAAACGTAGGTGCCGCGCATCCCCCTGTGTGTGCTGTCAGCCTCCCCGGTCGTGGCTGGTGCGGGCTGGACCTCCAGCCTCCTGTCGCTGTCTGTGGCCCCTGCGCCTCCTTCCTGGCCTTCCCCTCCCCATGCTCAGTGCAGTGAGCCCGGCTTCCCAGGGCGTGCGCCCCCTGCAGGCAGTCCCAGGGTCGGCTCCACCAGGACCGCAGCCGTCCGGAGAGGCCTCGGCTGGCGCGGCGTCTGCTGGGTGGAGACAGTTCAGGCGCTGCCCTCTGCGGAGAGGCGCCTGCAGGACCTCTGCGGGCTGTGGCAGCGCCCGGCTGAGCTGCTTTAAGACCTGCAGGCAGGCGCGTGGGGAAGCTGAGGAACCGCAAGGAGAAGCGGTCTGCTGTGCCCCTGGCAGTGGGCAGAGGTACAGTGCTGTTTGCCTCTGTTCCTCCGCCCAGCTGCGTCGTGGCGGGGTGGCGCTGGCCTCACAGTCCCCGGGGATTTCCTTCCTTTGGACTTTAGTGGGGACTCTGCACAGCACCCCCAGCCCAGCTGGTCAGCACTTCATACGTTCAGCCGTGTTTACTCCAAGGCCGTGGCCCTTTCTGCGGTCCGTGCTGACCCCTTCCGTCATCTCAGCCTGGCAGGGTGGCTTCTCCTACACTGAGCTGAGCTGCGCGCTGGACTGCGTGCTCCTGCGGGGGCTGCACCGCGCACGGCAGCCCGGCAACGGCGATGGAGAGCCATTTGCGCCCTGCTGGGGAGTTCGTGCTCTTCTGCAGCTGTGCCGTCTCTCCTTTTTCTGTTCCTTGGAAAAGCTGGAGTGGCTGTCCCGGCTTCTGGGTGGAGAAGGTGGCTGTCGGGGCACTGGCCCACTTTCTCCAGGCAGAGCAGTTGTGTTCGTTCATCGTGGAACACGTTCCCCGTGGGTGTGGGAGCCCCTCTGTGCCCACGCAGCACGCAGAGAGAGAGGTCTGGTTCCTGGGGTATCTCAGCAACAGCAAGAGAGCAAAGTAGTGCTGGGGACGCTGTGTGTTCCACTTATGAGACTTGGGAACGCTGGACCCCCTTAAAACTACTTCAGCTGTAGAAAGCCTAATTTCCTGTCTTTCGGGGTGGGTAAACACAGTGCAGCTCTTAGAGGCAGCTTGGGGTACGTGGCCGAGGATGGGCCCTTGCTGGCTGCCCTCACCTTGGGTTGTGCGGAGGTCCCACTAGCAAGGTCCGAGCTCCCGGCTTCTTCGAGTTCAGGACAGCCTGCAGACTGGGTTTCTGAGTGCTTCCCTTGCATGTGCAAGAAGGATGATGACCCTGTGCCCCTCGCAGAGCCGTGGGACGAAGGTCACCTGCCCTGGGTTCTGCAACTGTGTGGGGTTTCTTTGCATAATGAATGATTTTCTGCTCTGTTCTTTAATCTTTTAGCTTCTTATTAATAGGCTTGCACACTGACCTTCAGATACCTAACCATGTGCAGAAGTGTTTTATATGCACGGCTAACCCCGTAGAAGTGTGTGTATCCGGCCCTTGCCCCCATAACTCTAACCGACTTGCTTCCCCTAATACTTGGTTATAGTTGAAATTTCACTGTGAACCACAATAACAAGCCTGTCTCATTAGCTGCATTGAACTGTCTGTTCACAAGATTTATGGGAGTTTATAATTAGGCTATTAAGTTATTAATTACTTATTCCAATTAGAAGACCATGGGAATTCAAAGATCAGTGTATATGGAGCTCAAATTGCACGTTGTCAATTTGCTTTACATTCTTAAAACTGAACTATCCCATGACTGGACACATTTTCTTACCTACTGTCCAGTACCAAGACGGAGTGAGTAAATCTTCCCTTGGTTATGCTCTCCGTGGGGAATTGGCAGAGGACTGCAAAGGTGTGGAGAAAAGATGTCATTTTCTCCTGTCCTCAGCACCAGCAATGGCAAGCGTTACATTACCTCCAGCTGAAAGGCCCTGAATTTGTGAGCAAGCGTCCATTTCCAAAATCTTTAGGAGAATTCTACACTAGGGAAATAAGACTGGAAAACAGAATTCCCATCTTGAATTAGAAGGTGATAGATTGATGTGAAACTAATAATGGTAGCAGTTATTCACTCGTTTGGCAAAGACCCTGCAGAAGCAGAGACCTGGGAAGATCACAGTTAGGGCCACACCGTGGCAGAGTCTGTAACCCAAGTCTGCCCTCTGGTACCCAGTGCCTGATGTGGGTCCTGGCTCCGGAGCAGCCAGGGATGTCTGAGCAGAGGCAAAACTGGAGGAGACAGGAGTTTGGCAGGGGCCCTTCGACCCAGACCTCGGCAGTCAGCTAGTGTGTGCCTACTCTACAACCTAAGCCCGCGGTAAAAAACTTGCAACATTTTCCTGTTTCAAAACAGAGCAGTTAACTGTGAAGCTTGAGACACGGGCACAATTCTGGGAATCTGGTGTGTCCTGGGGAGTGTCCTAGAAGCCCCGCAGGTGCGTGGAGAGCAGATCCAGCCCGTGGAAGAGCCCTGCCCCGTGGGTGTCTCTGTCCTCTTTCCTGCCCGTGGGCAGAGAGCCGCTACGCAGCTGCTCCTGCTGGCCTGGGAAAGACACACGTCCGGGAAAACAGGAAGCGGCTGTGAGCAGGCGGCTCTTTCTATAAAATAGCAGGAAATTGAGTGGGACCAGAGTCTGTCCCCACTCAGAAGGACATGAGAAAAAGTGCAGCTGAATGTGTAGCCAGATATTTTTATGTCTTGAAAACCGTCACCTCCACCTAGCATAGGCTGCAGGTTGGTGCTGCTTAGAAGAGAAGCCAGGAGAATCACAATCAACCTATGTATAGCGGGGGCGGAGACCAGAACTTGTTTCTTTTTGCTGATTACTTCTCAGCCCTTCACTGACCGGATGCTGACTCGAGAGAGAATTAAAGATCTCAGTGACAGCTCACTGGAACAGACTGGGGCTATGCCAGTGACGAAAGCGAGGTGTTAAAATTTCAGTAATTTTGCAAGCCAACTGTTAAACAAAACCATTACAGAAAAGGCAGTTATAAAACTTACAGTTAAATAAGTAATATTAAAAACAAAGCCAGCAACTACTAAAAGTTCATCACTTCCTAATTATTTTACGTTTTATCACGTCCCTGTACCTGACATTATCTGTATAACTCCATGCTCTGTATCAGTGAAAATCCTTTGTAACCGTGTACTCCTGTTACATAGTATCACCGTACTATCTTCAGGGACTGACATCCATAGCTAGAAATCAGTCATGAAGTATGTACAGTATGGTAATTGGCGAAGTTTACGAAGCAAAGCTAAAGGTATTGTTTTTAATTGTCTATATATAAAAGAGCATTTGGAAAGTGCTAATGATGCAAATTAACTATATTTCAAACATGTCATATTTGTAGCCAGTGCAGTATGAATAACTGAAGAACTGTTCTTCCATTTATCAAAAGCCAATTATCGATTCCCCCAAAGTCTTCACAAGATTAACCAGTGAGTAAGGTACTGATACGCGTCCTCCTGGTCCTGTTTCATCTTATTCATTATCATAAACTGAACTGGCAATCTACATTCAAGCCAAAGCTACTCTTGCTGGCCAGTAGTAATAACAGGCTCTCTACAGGTTCAAGAATCTGGCAAAAGTTAGTGAAAGCATTCTGTGGGAATCACTGATTGAACAGTATATAATTTATAAAAATAAGATTGTATATTTTCTTATTACTTATAATTTTGTGCTTCCTGTCTTTTACATCAGTAAAACTTACACCTTCTATTTCAACCGTTTGTTTCCAGAGTGCTGGGTCCTGTTTACCAGCATATCACTGCAAAGGAGTAACAAACATACACAGAAACATTGAAAAGCAGGATTGTTTAGTCAAACGGAGGACAAGTGTGTCTTTGATTTCCTAAGTCAATCGAGCATTAAAATGACACAAATCATTACTCCTGGTGTCTGTATCTCTAGAAGTTTTAATTGACCATGTAAAGTCAAGTTAGGCATACAAATCTTTTACTTATTTATTCATTTACTTCTTTTAATTTATTTAATTTTGAGAAATTTTTTTCTGGGTTCATGTAAATTTAAGTCTTCCCAGAAATGAGGCATGGGCATCTTGGTTATTTTTTTCAATGGTTCCAAATTTTTGTTAAGCACCAGTACTTCACTCACTAGTTGAGAAGTAAATAGGGCCTATGTACCCAGCATTCCTCGACTGACAATAATCTGCTGTGTCTCTGGGTCTGGATGTGATGGTGCAGATGCAGGGAACCCCTTCCCTATGTTAATTCTTCTCCCTCAAGGGAGTCAGGGACTCAGCTACCTCCATGTCCTCTCGCCTCACAACAGTATCCTGGTTTGCATCAGAAATTATAGCTCAAGATACAAGGAAATGCAAAACTAAAGAATCAAGAATTTGTTTTCTCAATAGCAATTTAAAATCTAGGATAGGAGGTAGACATGGTTGAATAGAATATGTTTAAAATTCTGTATCAGAATGAAAGGAAAATAAGTGTCCAGAGTCTTAGGTCAGGAGTTTACGTATTTCAGGGGCCAAGCCACACCAGAAAAAGTCGCAGGACTTGAGAGGACTGCGCTCCTTAAAACCTGGGTCTCCACCTCCTTAAACAATCTATCCCCACCTCCTTAAACAATCGGCACCCCTGAATGGATGCTAGGACCCTGCCTGTACCCCAGCAGCGAGGCAGGGCCCATGACCTGAAGTTGAGGGCGTCGTGAAGCCACACTTCCTGCTTCCCCTTGGAGTTCTGCCGGTAACACAGACTTCATCTCCGGAGGGAAATAGGGATTTTTACCCACCAGCCAAGGGATGACCCTGCTTGTAAGAACTTTGAAGTTTCATGTCACATCCAAAGATCTTGATCTGAAAGCCTTACAGGCTGTCCAGGGAGGATTATGACACAGAGCAGGAGGTAGAATTCCCCATGTTGGGTCCACAGACCCTCTTCCCAACAGGTCTAGAACCCGAGGAAAAGCAGGTGGGGGGCTAGGGCGTGTGACGTGGCCACACCCACTCCCTGTGGCCTGCGACCCTCAGGTGCTGCGAATGAGGACAGTGCGGGCCACACCCTGCCCTGTGCTCACGGTCTGCGTCTGTCTCCTCCGCAGTGTACTGCTGCGCCTCCTTCCCCACCCACGGCAAGCGCCTCTGACGGACGGACTCCTCCTGACCCAGCCTCCCTTGGGCTCCGCTGTCCTGCTCTGATGCTGCTGTCCTTCTCCATCTTTCGGGATAAAAGGGCTCATTTCTACCAATTTCTGCCCCTTGGAATTTACATATAAATGCACACTTTGCAGAGATCTGTTCGAGGCTCGTGTTTCTTTCTAGGCAGCAAAGACACTTTATGTAAATTCTGGGTAGGTAATATTGACCTGTCCAGCCTTCTCTGACCTGTGGATCTGTTCCAGCGAAGAACAGGACTTCACTATAAATCATGGCAAACTCAGTTTTCTTACTGTCTTTTCTGTTCATGAATGCAGTCTGCATTTGCCCCGTGTGTGCTGTGGTAGAGCTGGGACACTCTCTCCACCTGGTGAAACTAGCGTGAAACACATGAACCCTAAACAGACCTGCAGGACCTTCTGACAGCCACCCGCTGAGACAGGTGCACAGCCCAAGTCCTCGGTGTGTTCAGGTTTCCCTGCCCCTGGTACTCCGCCTCCGGGCAGGCTACAAAAAGTAAAAAGAAGAGAAAAGGATGCATTTCACTTCTGTTCATTCTTCCTTCACTTACTCACCAGACACTGACAGAGTCCTTATTGATGCTAGGAGGGTTCCAACTTAGGCAGGCAGTAGGAACAAGCAGCAGCTGGGTAGTTACTTACCCGTGCCTCCACGCCCCTGTGGAAAGAAGTACTGCTGGATCCACTTGCTAAGCGCCAGTCCAGAGGCTTGCGCAGGGTTAAATGTGCCCGCAGCACCACCACCCCTCTGTGCAAGAGCTGCCCGCTGTCCTCCGCTCCGTGATCCTTACGGTTGGAGACAAGAGGCCTTGATGAGCTGCTCACCCCAGAGCCCCGGACTCCCCGAGGAGGTGCAGACGGTCGTAGGGGGAGACCCGGGGCTCAGCAAATACAACGAGTAGCTTTCCTTGGCCGTGATTAACGCCCATGGTGGCACACAGACCCTGGAAGTGGAGCAGATTCTCTTGTTTTGCTCTGAAAGATTTTTTTGAAACATTACTGCTTAGTAAGAAAAAAAGAATCGATTGGTATTTTTAATTTGCGGGATTGTTGTCTGGTTGATCACAAGGGAAAGATCAGTTGCCTTAGGCAGGAATGGCCACCGCTGATACTGGCATGGATAATACATACGAGCCAGAGCTGCATGTAGCCAGTGCAGCGCTATGTGTTGCTAGGAAACCAGTAAGTCACAGAAACGACTCACAAGGAACAAGTTAGAAAGCCTCTGTCTCTCTCTCTCTCTCTGCCTCTGTCTCTGTCTGTCTCTGTCTCTGTCTCTCTCATTGAAATAAAGGACTTTTTTCTGACAAGTAGCAATCATTTGACCCCGCATTAGTAAGTGGCAAAAACTTCAACAAGGTAGTGTTTACCTAAATGTTGGAGAAAGCATCAGGATTTGTGAGCTAGACAGGAAAGACTGCGGAAGACTGTAGGCAGTTACGGCAATAAGCATTTATGGGAGCAGTAACTACCATGCAGACTTGGGAGGACGGCAGCGCCAAGGCCCAAGGCGAGGACACGGGAGGGGGTTCTACTCACACAACTATTGGTCAGAGAAGCAGAAAGTACAGTGCCAAAAATGTATCGAATTCTATCAGAAACAGAGGCCACAGATATGGGAGAGACCAAATTCAACATAGCCTGATCCGTGTACGTAACAGACAGCTTTGACTGTGGAGAGACCAAATTCAACAGAGCCTGATCCGTGTACGTAACAGACAGCGTTTGACTGAGGCCCCCACTGACTTGATCGTGAAGGTCACTGAGAGCCGGATGGCGGGTCTTTGACAACACCTGGGTTATCTCTGTGACGGGCCGCTCCAGGGCCTGATGTGCAACATTCCAAGCACATTTAAATCACACCCAGCACTCTGCTGACGAGTTAGACTTCTGTAGGAATCAGACAAATTAATTTTTTTTCTTCTACAAAGCAACAGCATTTCACAAAGTTCCCATTTCTGGCTCAGTCTGGAATCCAACCCTGGCTGTAGGCCCCTTCTCCTCCGGGGAAGGCAGCAGGAGAGTGTGGCTTTCTTTCTCTGTGAGGCTGCACAGTATATTCAGAAAAGATGGTACGGCTCGTGGTTCCCAAATCAGGCAGGCACAAGTCCAGGCATCCTCGGAGCTGCCCAGCGCTCACACCAGTTCGTGGTGTAAATGTCCCCTCGGTAAGACCGGCTCCACACCAGATGCCAAGGTGAAAGACACATTAACTGAATGTTACTTTTCAGATAGAGTTGTCTTACATTCTTACACTTTTTCTGCTAAAGACCACGTGGCCGTGGACAGTGACACCAGCTAATTCCCAAGCTATGGCCCTCTTTGTAAGGGTGGTTGCCATCTTACTTGGCACCTTACTGCCAGAGCACTTTGGACTTTTTCATATGAAGTCTACATTTTTTTTATTTTCATTAAATGCTGTCAATTCTATAGATGCAGCAACTCGAGAAGTCCCATGTGCTTACTCCCTGGCATTTCATCGCGGCGGCGTTATAATCCACCGCACGTCGCATCTGTGTTTGGGGTGCTTATCAGCTGCTAATTTTCACAGTTTTCATGTTAATTTGGATCCGTGGTATGATACAGTTTGTTCACAACTTTCATAGCTTATGTAACTCGATTCAAAACATTTCCACACAGACTCATCTCTCGTAACAAAGCAACGCTTTTGCGGCGGGGATGGGATTCCGTCTTTCACAAGGCAAGAGGAGGTGAGGGCTGCCAAAGGTTTGAGGTGCCTCCAGTTACACAGTGACAAATCGGCCTATCCGGGCGGTGACCCACTGGAGCTCCCTGTACCCTCTACGGGGTGTGTGTGTGCGCATGTGTTTCTCCGCTTATCATTCACACTCAAGGAATGTGGAACTGGGTGAAAGAATAGTTTTCCTCTTATTAGTCACCATGGCAAAACAACAAGAAACTTCCAAATGCTTCAGTGAAGACAGAGGTCCAAATACTAAATATAGCGAGGCGCAGCACTCTCTGTGTAGTCTGGGGTTTTGTGCTTTGATTCTCCCCGACACCAACACAGAGTAACCCTGGTACCAAGTAACTCTTCACCGGAAGTTGGGTGATTCACATTTATCATTACTTGCTTTTTTATTCTAACCTTTTCCCCCTCTTTAAGAAAATAGTAAATTTTTATTGCTGTGAAGGAAGTTGAGTAGACTCGGAAGGTCACACCCACCTGTACTCTGTGAAAAAGAACAGGCAGAAAGCTGTTAGCACTCCGAGACTCTTCGGGCTAGACGCAGGGTTTCTCACTTGGTAAATCTGCTGCGGCCTTCCGGGGAGCGGAGTGAGCGTGCGCAGCCTCAGTCACAGCGGAAGGCCGGTGGGTGCTGTGCTCTCTCCAGCAGTGAGGGGCTGCGGTTAAAGAGTGAACACACCCCCAGAAGCTTCCTCCGACCGCACGGATCCTCCGCCAGGGCTCGGCGATGGAGCGCAGGTCTGCCGGGACGGCCCTGCTCTGCCCAGACGGCGTGTGGCTGCTCCTTTGGTAACGGCTCCTGACCGTTCCGGGACGCCGCGTGTCGCTGTCACTGGCGACGGTTCAGGCAGAGGCTGCCAGTTGGGAGGTGATTATGTCTCTCAGTCAGCCTGCCGACACCGAGTGGACGGATGTGGAAAACATTGCCCAAACCAGGAGAGCCGCAGTCTGAGTGCGAGGCCTGTGCTCCCGGCCCGCTGCGCGGCTCTGGCTGCAGGCCGGGTGGGTCCTCTGGCCGCCGCTCCCCGTCACGGTGTGCACCACATGGGCTGCTCGTAAACACAGACTCCGAGGCTGTGCAGCGTGCACCTGCTGCTTGCTTAGCAGAGCACTGCCCGGTCCCGTGGTCAGCCACCTCCTCGGGAAGACCCGGCTCTGGCCTGCCCGGCCAGGCCTCCCTGGGTCCGGGAGGGCATTTCCAAGGCCGGCCTGCAGAGCGATCTGGCCAAGGTACCGAGGGCGGTGCCTGCACATTTCCACCACCAGGGGGAGCCCTGGCTGCCCAGGGATGGAGCGCTTGGCAGGGAAAGGAAACAAAGCTTAAGAAGTCAACGCGGAGCACCGCTTTCATGCCAGTGCGGTGCAGCAGCGGTCACCCAGAGCCGGCCGGTGACAGCAGCCACAGGTCGGGCCTCTGCTCACCCAGAGAGAGGACGGAGGCCAGGAGAGTGCGCAGACCCTGCGGCCGGCAGCTACGCCCGCCCGGGTTCAGCCCTGGCGGCCAGGTGACGAGAGGACCCGTATGTTCGTGTATACACATGCGCCAGCCATGAGCACACGGCGCATACACGGAGCACGCACACAGACACGCATGTACAGGCAAACACGCGTGCAGCACAGCACCCTACGCTCACAAGAACCCACAGGTGCATGTGCAGACAGGGTGCACGCAGTGTGCATACTTAGGTGCGTGTGTGCGGACCTGTGTACATCAGTGTCCCTGTCATAGCTGTACCTCTGTGTGCTGTTACGGGTTACGCTCCGGAGGTCCCCCGCGTCGCCTGTCTGAGGAAGGTGGCTGGGCCGGGGTTGCTGCCGCTGACTGTGCTGTGGGAGGCGGGGCTGGCTGGAGGCGGCCAGTGGGGTGTGACCCGGAAGGGTGTGACCCTGCCCTCCTCTGGCTTCCTGCTGTGGGCGGAGCAGCTCTCCCGCACCACGCCCTTCCACGGTGCTGTCTCCGCCATGGGGCCAGCCATGGACTGAACCCCAAAACGGTGAACCACAGAGACCTCTTCTGCTTTAACTGCAGGTGTCCCAGCCGCAGGAGCGCAACTGACCATGCATACACACACGCACACCTGTGAACACACCGCATGCTCACGTACCAGGGGCACACAGATGCATGCACACACCATGGTAGGATGGCCCCAGACCTCTGTAGCTGTGTGAGTCTGTGTTCACTGGTTTAGTTAAACTGGAGAAACGAAGTAACGCAAACCCCCTTTTTAAGAAGTCAGAGAAAATGTTCAGAGCCTGTTACTGAGCTTTTGCTAAGACACTGACTTTTCTGCTTTGCCTGTCCTCCTGAGAGACTCCGGACCATTTCGGTTCTCCTCGTTGTCCTTGGGGTATCACGTTGGTGTGCGAATGACTGTTGAGTGAGTGGGCTTATAAGGAGTGGCCTTTCACAGCTCGCAGAGGTGAGATCCCCTGTGGCCTCGGGGTGCCTTCCACGTCTGGGGGCCCCAGAGCAGGGGCTTGTTCCCTCCCAAAGTCTCAGTGACACCCACAGGACCCACACCACCAAGCCTTCTTCCGCGGGGCCCCACACCA